ACAAAATACATGCTAATTTTATTTAACTTACTAAAAAACTTAATTTTAATACTACTCAAACTAGTCTTGGCGGGGGGGAAGGGGGTGTTAAGGGCGCCAAAACATGGTTTCGCCCAGGGCGCCAAAACTTCTTGCGCCGGCCCTGCTCATCAATATGTTCAGAAATAAAAATATAAAATATTTACTGTCATTCAAATTAATGAAAAATCATAGAAATAAAATGTTCTTTTTTCATTAGCTTTTAATTATGTAAAATAAATATTTTTACAAACTTTAATAGTTTTGATGAAAAAGAAAGCAAACTTTGAAAGAATGATAATTTTCAAATATATTTTATGCTAATGTATTTAAACACTAGCAGTAGGTATACTGTATTTAATATTATTATCAAACAATTTTTGTAGTTCAATGTTTGAATATGTAGTTTCTAAGTTATTACGTCAGCTTTACAGATACMAATGTTTGTGAACGAATAACTAATACGTAGATATTAATAATATTATTTAATTGTTTACCTATTAGTTTATTTCATGGCAACGTCATTTAATGAAAATTTCATACGCACATCTTGGTCAAGGCTAATGTCTTTTATATCATCAATCATCATATTTTCGTAATTAATCACCCATGATAAAAATATTTTCAAAACAAATATTTATTTCTATTTGTTATTTAAGATACATTTTTTGTATGAATTATATCAGTCTACTAGTTATGTTTTCAACTTCATGTCTCTTATTAAATATAAGGTATGTTATATTTGTTTGACTAATGATCACATTCATTSTYTATAATTATATCTATTCTGTATAGTATACCTACTGTAGTTTATGATCAATTTAAGTATTGTAATTTATGATCAACTAAATCCATATAACTGAATTTAAAGAATGTTCAAATAACAAATAATTTTGTATTATTTTAATTTTTATCAAAAAATTTAAAACATATTCATTTCATAAATGTTATATATGTATTTCAAATGCATTATTTAATAATTTGTCTTTACTATTTTTAGTTTTTAAAAACCAAATAATATGCAACATTAAAAACTATTAATCCTTTATATTTTAAATAAACTATTTAATAATGACGCATTACATCTTACATAACAGTTATTATGGCAACTCTTAATGTTGTGTTGTGGAACGTGAACTCTATCACATTTTAAAGGTTAATAATTTTTATTATTTTTTTTAAGATAAAATTTGTATGTAGCAAACGAATGTAGAGTTACTAATAATAATGATTAATTTATTTGCTTATTATGTTATCTAATTTCTATACTTTCAAGTATGAAATATTATGAAATTTCTCTATTTTTTAATAATAATATAATTTTTAAGCTTTATATTAGTTTATTACTTTTTGATTGATTTTGTTCATCAATGGTTTTAATTTCTGACGCTTGATTCACAATTGCTAATGGTTTAGGTATTTTTTCTTTACAATTTTCACATTGACCATTTTTACACCATACAACTTCTACCTGAAATAAATGTTTATTATTATAGGTATATTTTAACAATTATCGTTGTAGTATGCTGAAGTTACATTTGTATAATTTTGTATAAAAAAGTCTTCATTATTAAACACTGACTTTTCAACAAACAATAAAAATTGATTCTTTGAAGGACTCAGAGTATCTATTAATCTAGCATAATACTTTTGACTTTGCTCTTGTAGTAGATAATCAGTTTTATGGTACTGAGACATCAGTTCGTTAAAATTTCTCAGAACTATATTATGAACCACACTCTCTGTAAACAGGAAATGTAATCATTAAGTATAACAGTTTAACGCTTCATAAAATATATCCAGGATGTTTTCGATTGCTTATTAGTTTTTTATGCTAGCTAACACATTTTGTTAGATAAAAGGTGTACATGTTTACAGGATATTATGTTATGTCATAAAAAATAAACAATGACTCACTTATACAAAAAGTATGAGCATTATAAATAGTCCTGATTCAAATTAAAAAGATTAAATATTTACTTTTAATTTTTTAATTACATTTTTTAACTTATGGCTTATTTTATATTTAATTTTTAATTCGTGATAATAATACTTATTTCCCAAATTTTTTTTCTATTAGACRCCTTTTATACACCTATTAATCAAATACCTAATAGATTTTGTATTCCTTAGAAACAGGTTAGTATAATATTATAGGTATTCTAGTAAATAATTAATTAAAAATGTTTTTACAAAATATTTGTTCTAAGATCAAATTAAACTTTATTTTTGAGAAGTTAGTTTGTATAACTTTGTGTGAACTAATAATAATAAAAGATAACATTATATATATATGTATGTGTGTGTTATGACAATTAGTCTTGACAAACATAGTTGTAATATATACAAGGAAGAGGGCCAAAAAAAGTTGTCACTCCTTTACATTTTATCTTATATTTTTGTCAAATATATCTAAGAAACTAATGTATTGATTATTAAAACACATTCATTTATTTTTTTGAATCATTATGCTTCAATATTGTTTTTTGTATGCRTTATTTGTAATAACTAATTAGTAATTATGTAGTTATTAAAATATTTATATTGTATTTTTACATTTAAAGTAATACAAATTATAATTTGTCTAATTCTACCTAYTTATATTTTAAATAATTTTATAATTCTTCAAAATTTCAAGGACTGCTATTTAGTGGTTTAGTGTTAACATGTATCTCTGTATAATTATTGGTGAATTAATTGAGGGATAATTAGAAAGGAGCTATCAGGGATGGCCTAGCCCACTGGGATACCAAGAAGTTCTCCCTGGCCTGGGTATTGGGACTTGCCATTTGCCTGATTGCTGTATTAAATAATTTATTTTTAATAATTAGTACTAATTTGTAGGTATTTATTTATACAAACATGAGAAATACAATAAGTTATCACTTATTACTAATAACTACAATAACTCATTTAAGATTGGCATTTTTGGAYCCATAACCGCATTATTATTATTATATAGTTATGCTTCGTCCAAGAGAATGTGCAGCTGACTACATTGCACACATGAGTTAGTCATTGCTCTTTAAATTTAACTCATACTCTATTTACTATACCTAGCAATTTTTACAAAAATATCTAATGAAAATTGATTAAAATACAAAATTAATTATAAGCTCAAATGTCTATTAGTTTTGGTTTGTGTATAAAAAGGTTGACAAACCCACATTTATTGTCTCTGTCTTACAAGTGTATAATTGCAAATTTATACTCAGCAGTTAACRTTTAGATTTGTTAGTTTAAAATGTATTGTSAATCAACTTCAGTACTATGAAACTTAAAATAAAAACATTATCTATGTTTGTATGTTAGGTTTCTTTTGAGAATTCAATTTTTTAAACATTTTCGTCTGTGTTAAATAACACAATTTGAAAATCAGATCATGTTTAGCTCCRTTAGTTAAAAATTTAGAGTGAATTAACCTATAATAAAAATTAAAGGTAACATTATTATTGAGRGCTTCTCATAGGTTTTTATTATAATTTAATTTTAAAGCGAATCATGAGTATTTTAAGATATACAAATAATCTACAATTTTAAAATACTCATAGCTCGCTTTAAAATTAAAATATAATAAAAAGCTTATGAGAAGCCCTCGATAATAATGTTATCTTTAATTTTTATAATAGTTGAAATCACTCTAAATTTTAAACTAATGGAGCTAAAAGTGATCTGCTGAGTATAAAATTTTCTATGTTATAATAGATTAACATATCAAAATTTCCTAATTATGCAAAATAAAATGTGTTTAATTTTTTGTACTTAAAACTATATTAATATTAGGTTGCATCTTGCATGTAGTACTATGTAGGTATGTTGTATTATATACAATGTCCACAGAACTTAATACTACCCCCACTTAAATAAGTTTTAATAAAAAACTTTTTTTTAAAATAGGTAGTTAGAAAATGTTAAAGTATTGATATTAATTATTGAGTAAAGAAAAATATTATAACTCTTTTTGGATCCCCTCTCATAATTAATTGTACATAAATACAGTGATATTACCTCAGGTATGTGGTATACAATAGATGATATACAATTACTATGAATCCCAAATCCCGATATAAAATTAGTATTTATTAATTTTTAATTTTCTATATTTTGGTAAAAACAGCTATTATGTATCTTAATTACCTAATTTATTATTTTAAATACAGCATAATATATAATATACATACCTTCTTTTTCATCTAGTCCAGATATAGTCACATAAGTATCATTTGTAGTCAAATATCTTGTATTTTCAAAAAATTCATTCATACATTGTAAAGTTGCTTTTTTCCAATCCGTCAAAATTGTAATGTTATTAGCAATAATACACGACATTGTACCACAAAGTAAGAATAACTTTAGTAAATGCATGATGGTACGGTACAGGAAAAATAGCTATTGAAAATTATTTGGACTTACTTTTTGCTTATATAACATTTCTATTAATTGTTATCTGTGTCAAATATTTATCTATTGAGGATAGGTTTCCTATAGTTTATAACTAATATTATGTATCTTTCCTCATAAAAATTAACCAAATATTTTTGTTTGATTTCAGATAAGAATATTACTAACCAATTCCAAGATTCTTTAACTTTTTCTTTATTACAACAAAATATTAATGAAGTAAATTTGGAAGAATCCCAATGTTTAAGAACTGCTGGTGATAAACTTAAACAGCATCTAAATAGTAGTTGTGGATTTTCTAATCTTGATGAGTATAATTCTCATATTGTACCACCAAGGAGAACAATAGAAAATGCTCAACATAACATTACTACTCTTCCTATAGGTTATATTATTATTATTATTGCACATTCATAATACAAATAATCAAACAAAATATTATGAKTTTTATAATTTAAAATTTATTTTAACATTGTAATAATTATTACAGATAATACTGAACCATCGCCAACTAGTAATGTTTTAAATAACCAACATTATTCAACTGTTACGGAAACATCAAACATGGTAATACACAAACCATTTAAAACCAAGAGTGCTCCATTAAATATATCCACATTGCAATCGCAATCAGAGGTATAATATAGATGGTTAAAATAACTTTTTATCGAACAAATAATAAAGTTGGATTTTTAATAATTGTTTATAGGATTTATTACTATACGTTTATGAACCTATAAAATGGCATTGGTTCTATTGCAAGTATGCTGATAAAAATAAATGGGTTCCATTTAGCCAAAAAGACTCTGATGCAATTGAACAAGCCTTTATTTTAAGTAAGAATATACTCAATATTTTATTTTATATTAAAATTAAAGTATTTTAATTTATTTTTTTGTTACCATGTTTTAGATGATCCAACTAATGAATCAGTTATAGCAACAGATGGTAGTAGATTTGATGTTTACTTAAATCAAAGAATTCGTAAACCAGTATATTGGTCTGATAACTCAACTAATGTACGTCGTTGTTCTTGGTTTCTCCGTAATAGCAATGGATCTAATTTTATTCCTTATGATGAAGTCACAGCTAATCTTTTAGAGGTAATACTGAATTATCACATATTATAAATATGATATTTATAAAATTACTAATTATACTTAGGAAGAATACAAAGCAGCTTGGGAAAGTAATGAATGGGGACGTAGAGTTCCAGTTGGTAATTATGAAGAAGTAGTTTTTCATAGTCCTACAGCTATTATCCACAACGGTGTATCTATAACACTTCTAAATAATACTGAAGAAACTCAAAGTTATCAAATGGATCAAGCAGCAAATATAGTAAAATAATAAATACAAATTAAAACAATAGCTTAAGAATGCTGTACATTTAAAAATAATTTACAGTCTTCATTAAAACAATGCATAGTTAAACGAGGGTTTGAAGAATTTGTAATTCCTAGTGATGAACCATCAAAAGTGGATCATTTATTATTTATTGTTCATGGAATTGGGTCTTACTGTGATTTAAAAATGAGACCAATTTATGAAGTTGGTATGTTATTTTCTTTACTAAAGAAACATACAATTTAATTAAACCTAAATAGTAAACTAGGAACTACAATTTTAAGCAGGGTTTTTATGGAGGCAACATTTTTGGATCTGGCATATGGGATAAGGCAAATGGTCTTGATTAAGATTATCAGTATCTCGCAGAAAATGTTTCCTTCATCTAAAATTGGCTTTAGAAACTTTTAAAAGAACTTACACATTTATACGTCAATAATTTATATCCTGTAATTATTTATTATTTTGTAGTGGATGATTTTCGAAGTTTAGCTCTTCAGTTAACACAATCACATTTTAAAACATCATGTCAATCAGAAAAAATTGGTAGAATTGAAGTTTTACCTGTTTCGTGGCATTTAGCTCTGCATAGTGAAGATATTGATTGTAAGCTCAAAAGAATTACATTGCCATCAATTCCACGTCTCAGAAACTTTAGCAATGATACTATATTGGACGTTTTGTTTTATACAAGTCCCACATTTTGTCAAGTGATTAATTTGAAAATAATAAAAAAGAAATTTTAAATTTACATACAGGTTTATAATTTCAGACTATAATAAATGCTGTTGGAAATGAAATGAATCGAATGTATAGTCAATATCTATTAAGGAATCCAAATTTTAATGGACATGTTTCTATAGGCGGTCATAGTCTTGGATCTTTAATTTCATTTGATTTGCTGTGTAATCAACAACCACCAAGTCCTAAAAAACAAACTGTAAGTTTGTAATATACCTATTGGATAAAAAGGGTAGTTAGTACTTTGTGTTATCTGTTATTTTTTTGGAAAATCATAATATTAATTTAATTAAAATTAAACATTTCAAATAAATATAGTGGTATAAAATATTATGTTATTATTATGCCTTTATATTAATACAATTAAAAAAAAAAAAAAAACACTAAGTAGGTATGTTCTATTGTACAGTTTGTGTTGAATTGGCCACTGCGATGGATGTCTTAAATTTGAATTCTATGATAAATCATTGTATATAATCAAAAATGATACAGAGTTTAGACTGTTTAACTATTTGATAATCAAACAACTATTTTAATTATAATATTACTGTTAACTACCCAAAAAAGTACCAACTGGATCCAATTTGTTGTCAAAAACTTTTGAACTTGATGATGAGTTTTCTACTAGAAAAATTATACATTGTAAAATCAATACAATTACTGCACTGTTCAGAATTTATATGTATATAATATTAAATCCAGTGTGCTGTACTGCTGTATAATATATATTTTAAATAATTTACAATTTAAATTTTATTTTATTATAGCAGGAATCATCTGTAGCATCAGTTGATCAAAATCAAAAAGCTAAATTAAGCCGTGGTGCATCATATGTAACATTAGGAAAAGCTGGTACTGGACAACCATATATCACATACCCACAACTAAAATTTGAACTTGATTACTTTTTTGGTTTTGGATCACCTATTGGTAAATTATTTAAGTACTCCATAACTAGTTTATTACTATTTTAATGTATTTATTGCATCATTCAGGTATGTTTGTAACAGTGCGAGGTATTGAAAGCTTAGGAGAAAACTTCAAGTTTCCAACTTGTCCAGGATTTCTCAATATTTTTCACCCGTATGACCCAGTTGCTTACCGTATTGAACCATTAATTAATGCTGCTTTTGAAAATATACCTCCTTTTCAAGTGCCACATCACAAAGGACGTAAAAGAATGCATTTAGGTAATTAATAATTATATATTATTGTATGACTGTATATATTTATTTTAAAATCTTATTTATTTAGAACTAAAAGATACTATGGCACATGTGGGAGCTGCTTTAAAGACACATCTTGTAAATTCAGTAAAAAATACGTGGAATACTGTTTATCAGTTGGCTATGTTTTCAAAAGTAACTTCAGGTCATTCTATAGAATATGACCCTAGGATGGTAAGTATATTAAATATTCAATTTTTATAAGTTTTGGTTATGTAAGGAGTATATAATTCCTTTATTCTAATATTGCACAAACAGTAWCTTATAATCAACAATGAATTCTTAGTTAAATCTTCAATTGTTTTTAAATATTTAAAACAYATCATTCAAATACTTAAGATATCCCTTAAAATAAAATTTGAAATTTAAAAAAAAAACTGATGCTAATTAGTTATTACTTGACATTGTATGTACAAATAACTAATAAGTATAACTTTAATTAGTACTGGCTTGACTCTAATCGCTGGCATGAACCCTTCATGAACGAAGCAACTATTTAAAATAAGTGTTCTCTTAGTAAATAATATTGTTCCTGTGTTAATGTGGATAGCTAATCCCAACACTAAAACCAATTCATAAAAGTAAATTAATTATTAACGAGCCTCAAACCCCAATTTTACACAAAGCAACCACTTCAAAAAATAACTATAATATTGTGTTCAACTATTTGCTTATTGTAACTTTTAGATTCTTAACAAAGTAATTAATGTATTGATTTTACAATGATGTATGTTTTTATTATTATTATTATTATTATTTTTRTGTCTTTCRTCATATTTTGGAGTAGAAATAATTCTCTGATTTTTGTCATCAGCTCCTCTTTAAAAAGGAAAATTCATCTAGTTAGTACATTGGGTTATCAAAAGTAAAAAATGTCCAAGTTTTCAAAAGCGTCAGGGAAACCCTAAAAAAAGTAACAAAAAACAGGAATTTTTAAGCATAATCAGTTTTGACAAAATCAATTTTTTATTTTGCTACAGCTTAAAAACGAATATATGTAAATATTTAAATATGTAAATATGTAAATATTTAAATTTTCACCAAATGTTTATATTTATCTATTTACGATAAAATTTTCAAAAGATTTTGACTTTTTTATGCTATTTATAGACAATTGAAATTTTCGATATTTCTAAATTTTGTTTTTGAAATGCCTATAAAAAAAATTTACATATCCAAAAAATCTTTAAAATTGTATACAAGTTTTATTATAAGTTGAACTTATCGTAGTAAAAAAAAATAAAAAATCGTTGGTCACAATTTTTATTTGTAACCATTTAAAGTTCAAATGATTACAAAATGTGTCAAAATCATGAAATTTGCATGGATTTATGAAGTTGAAAATTCATAAAATTATTAATTCTAAGGTTAGAAAAACTCAACACAAGGTTTTCCATAACTTTTTACATTACAAATAATAATAAAAAAAAAACTCCTGAGTCAATATAAAAACATTTTGTGACTTGTGAGGTTATAAATATATATGATAATTTAAATATAGGTTATATAATATATCCTATAGACTGACAAATTATCTCCGTTCAAAATCGTTTTTCGTATAAAATGACACCTGTCTTTGCATTTAAATTTAACACATGCATTATAGTGATAGTGACCATCCATCTCTAATAAGAGCGATACCCACTTGTCCACTTTTTTTTGTACTTTACAACATTGTAAATGTTACTTATTTATTTAATTAAAAAATTAATAATAATTACATAAAATAACTAACCATATTACACGCATTTCTATTCAAGGTCTGATTTTGTATACTTGATTAATAATCACTTGTATATTTTTTTAATATGTAATTTACTAGTAAAAATATTGATTTTTTATTTTTATTAGAAATTAGATCAAAAATCAAAAACTCAACAAGTAGATTCTACAAATACCTCAACAACGTTTCAGAGTACTTCTGAATACCTCAATAATAAACCTGGTATTCTGAACAAAGGAAATAGAATAGATTATGTTTTACAAGAGGCGCCAATTGAAAGTTTCAATGAATACTTATTTGCTGTAGGCAGTCATTTATGTTATTGGTATGTGAATATTTATTTGTCAAGAATGTTTATATATATATATGCATCATTTAATACATTAATTGTATATTAAGTACAGCAGTTTAAACATATTTTAGGTATAGTAAAACTGTCCATTGTACCATTTTTCAGAGTTAAAATATACAACATAATAAACTCTCAATAATTCGAAAATATTGATAATTCAAAATAAAAATGGTGTTTGGTCCCCTGAGTATCTCCCAATAATTCAATAAAAAATAATGCATTTAGATATGCACTCAGTAATTTAAAGTAAAATTTGGGTCAAAAATGCTGCAACYTGCATCAATTCAAAACTACTTTCACTCAACTATTGGCTATTAGAAATTGTTTCACTGTGATTGAGTGTTCAAAATAAACATTCATATGGTTAACCTTACTCACCAAAATTTTATTTATTTTTTGAAAAAAAAAAAAATGAAAATCCAGCATTTTCCAGGGATTTTTTTATTAGAACCATTGGACACAATAAATTACTTATTTAATTAAAAATTTAAAAATATCTCTTAATAACCGTGTCCAAAAATTATCTATTTATTGATAATTTATAAAAATTTTAAATAATAGTCACAGTGTATTTCGACCACACACGGTGSCACCTTACCAAATTTGTTTATTATAAATTAATAAATGTATGAAAATAATTAACTCAGCTGATAACAGGCCCGAATAGGCCAGTCAAGCATTTGAGAAAATCTCGAAGGGCCGCTAAAATTTTGGACTGGTATGAAAAATTTGCCGCTATACCCACGTTATGATTTTAATGACAGCTATATAACAGCATACAGTCAACAAACGTGATAAGGTCATTATTATTTATTAATACAAATTTTATTTTATTTTATTTTATTTTATTAATTTATTAAAATTCGTCCAATATGGGCTACTATAGAAAATTACGGGCCGATTGAAAAATATTTCTCGAAGGGCTGAAAATTCCCAATCCGGCCTTGGCTGACAATCAAATACAGATAATCCCAGGTTTTTTGTTATGAACCCACCATCTCAATTAATCTGACAACGACTGTAAACCTATTTATGTGTATTCACACCAATGAGTCCGAATGAAATACGTATAAATAAGCAATTAATCGAATCAAAATTAATTTTTTGTAAAAAATCTATGTATTTTCTAGAATACAATAAATTTAAGACAACAAAAAATTAATATTGTTACATACATTCATGCATGTTTTTCATTCTCCATAACTTAGTTAATAGAATATTTATTTCCCCTCATAATATTACAAACTTCTTCACAATTCAAACACTTGGTAATTCAAGTTTCCTTCAACTGAAATTATTGGGAGTTGAGTATATTTAAATATGAAAGCTTATGGCCCCTCATTAGATATAATTATGTAGTGTTGAATATTCATTCTTTTTTTTATTTTAAAATTTTTTTTTATTAAGTATAATTTTTTTATTAATTTTATTTTGTAGGGAATCTGAAGACACTATTTTATTAGTTTTGAAGGAAATTTATTCAATACTTGGAGTATCGCCTGATAATCAAATTCAGCATGCTATACTACCATTTGACATTCACGATAGCGAAAATTCTAATTATCCAACTAGTATGCAGTTTGAGGAACCACCAGGATTCAACATGTCTTTTGGATCATTATCATCACTTTATGATGATAAATGTTAAGCCAACACTATAACAGTTATCGGAAAAATAATTTATACAATAGTTATTGGAATGTTATATTTTATGTGAAAAAAAAAATATAGATTATTTGAAAGGTGTTTTATTTACTGTGATATTTAATATTTATTAGTTAATTAAGTTTATTTAAACTAGATAGCAATATCATTATTGTCTTATTAGGTTTTTTGTTTTATTAGATGAGCCACATCACAATCCAACATAAGACTTATAAGTTATTATATTATATTCTTGTTATGTAATTTATWTAATTGTATTATTCTCGTTTACAGAATTTTTATTTAAATGTCAAAGAATAATTGTTTTCAAAGTCAATGTGTTAACTTATATTTATGTCTATGTATGTTATAGTCATATTAATAGATATCATTTGTGTACATAACTCACCAAACTTAAGGATTTATTTTTCAACTACAATTCATTTATTTTACCAAAAAATAATACTTAATTTTAATTTTAATTTTAATTAAATTGTTTGTGTTAAGAGGATGTTAAATCCGCATGTGTTGTTCTCCGTCTTACATCTTAAAAAAATTCAAGTCAATATTATTATTAAAGGGCTTCTTATAGGCTTTTTATTACATTTTAATTTTAAAACGAGTTATGAGAATTTTAAAATTGTAAATTGTTTGTATATCTTAAAATACTCATAACTCCTTTAAAATTAAAATATAATTTAAACATACAACATTCTCTCAAAAATAATGTTGACTTTAATTTTTATAAGAGGCCAATCACTTTAAATTTTWAGCTCGTGGAGCTAAACACAATYTGCTGAACTTAAAATTTGCTATGTTACGCACATGTAAGACAGAGAAAACACATGCGGGTTAACATCCAAAAATTATGTGTCTTCTTAATCTCTATAGTTCTAATATACTAATGTTTTCTTAATTTTTGTTATAAAAATAAAGATATTTAAATGTCTAATAGTTTCAATGTTCAATAAAAAAAATKTATAAAAAACAACAACTTTCAGTACTTAATTACAAAAAAAATAATCAAACAGTTTTTATTTAACAAGTTTCTTAYTCTTTTTATTTATATATGCCACAATAGTCTTTGGTACAATAATATAAATGTTTTTGATGATGATATTTGTATCTAGATTTTAAAATATATAATTGAGTTTTTCATTAGCAATTAATGTTTCCCAAATGKGTATAATATTAATATAACAATGATTTACACACATATCACAACACATATAAATAATTTTACTTAAAATATGATAATGTATAACATATTATAAAAATGTAAATTATATTTTTTCCTTAGTGTTCTTCAATGTTTTCTTTAACAAAAACCAGGGTAACAATAATAAAATGCCTCCAATGCAATATGTAATCCTTGGACCAATAGACCAATATACTAAAATACAAATTAATACATTATATTAGATATAACTCAAATTAAAGAATATTTAAAAATTATAAAAACTAACACATTGAAGCAAAAACTGGTCCAACAGCTCGAGCTAAAGCACCTAATGAACGGAATGTACCCATCGCTTTCCCTTTATGAGCATTAGATCCATAATGTGATGCTAATGTAGTCATACACGGAACAACAATAGAGGTAGCTGAAAAATAAAATAAATTTTAATAAAAAGTCTAGTTTAAATATTTGAAGAGATTTAATTTATTTCTTACAAACAGCATAAAGAAATAAACCAAAAATAAAAAGTGGAGGAGATTCAGCCATTCCAACACATATGAACGATGGAACTATAAGTAAAAGTCCCTACAACATTAAATAAAATTTATTCAAATAATTAAACATAGATAATTAAATAAAAATTTAAATTTTTACTAAAGTGGCAGTTTTAGCTGTACGTGCTGGAGGTATTCTTCGAACCCAACCACCCTGTAAAATAGCCATGGTAATACCAATACCAAAAAACATCCAACCTTGTTGCATTGAGGTATATCCAAATTTGTTGTGTGTCAAAAATGTCAATGTAAATTCTAATCCAGAATATAGAAATAAATAAGTAAAATAGACAGTACCCAATGTGCGTAACTTCTTAATATCTAAAAATTAAAAACAAGATAATTATATAATATATATACATATCAATGACAATAAATTACAGTAATTAAGTTAATAACTATTACCTTCAGATTGAACAACACCATCCAAAAGTTTAAATTTGAATAAATCTAYCACATTAATGTATGTAAATGCTTCTGACAATTTTCCAGCAACTGAAGAAGCTCTATTTTTCTAGAATAATAAAATCAACAAATATTATAAAAAATATTTTTAAATTAATGCATTAAAAATAATAATAATTTATTACTTTTGGAAGTGATTCTTTAAATGTAAAAGTTACAAAAATTATATTAATTATGGTCAAAACAACTGCAAGTAAAGCAGGTTGAACAAACCAGACCCCTTCTTGACCATGAGACCATTTAGCATATGCTGCTCCTATCATAGGACCAAATACAAATCCCACAGAAAATGCTATTCCAATCATCGCCTAAAATGTAAATATTTATACATGTAATTTCCATAATATTATTTTCCTTACACTACTTCAAAAATAATATGTGATCAATTTATAATGCATGAACAACATCAAATTATAATCCAATAAATAAAATTTATTTTTTTTTTAAAGGAGTTAAAAAAAATGTAGTCTGTATTAATTTTATATTTCCATCATCAAGTAATTTTGCATCACTATAATTTCTACAAAATTATAACAATAAAATATATCAATATACTATGTTATATTTAAATAAAATTATAATTTAACTTGATTAGAAAATATTTTAATTTTTTTAATTACTCATAGTATATAATATTTAAACGACAAATAATTGTAGCTTATATATTTTACTTAAGACCAAATCAAAAAATATTTGTTTTTATACATAAAAATTAAGTATTAATTTTTGACAAAAATATATTTACCATTCCTCTTCCGCGCTTTTCTGGTACATATACATCTGTAACAATAGCCATTGATAAACTAACATTGCCTTTACTAAGACCACCAATAATACGTGACCAAACAAATAAAGAAAATGTTGTTGCCTTTGACCATATTATGTAAGAAGATAAAATGCCTACCTAAAATATTTATTATGTCAAATATAAATATGTAAATATAATAATGTAAGACCATAGTATGGAACTTACCAAACATATAATCATGACTGGCTTACGTCCATAAACATCACTTATTCCACCGAGGATAGGTGATGAAGCAAATTGTAAAAATGAAAACAATGATCCCAGTATACCTATATGATTCAATTTTGTGTTAGTTCCAAATTATATTTTTAAATTTAATTGTATTACTTACCACCAAATAAAACTCCATTAAATTTATCTGGTACACCAATAATTTTTTGAAAGACRCCTATTTGTTGTTCCAGCCATTGGTACAATCCACCAGAGTCATTTTGTTTATAATAGTCCAGTAATGATGGGAAAAGTGGTAATATCATAGTAAATGCCAGTAAATCAAATAATAACGATATAAACACCACATAACCGGTAGTGTTTTGTGAGCTTTTTGTTGCCATTTGAATATTAGATAAAAGTTTAAATATAATTCACATTAAGTAGTCTATGCGAGTAAGTATTTGAATTTAAAAAAATACAATAGCAATATTATGTATGCATATCTAATAATTGTATATTTTGTTTAGCTTTTAGCTAGTAACATAAGGTAAAATTTAAAAGCAATAAAATGGACTTTGAACCAGATACCTGTTACATAATGATAATTACACCTACACACCAGTGCCACAATTCACAGATATTAAACAAAATATCTACTTTCACTTTATTACTAGGTAGGTACCTTTTAGTACTAGAAAGTTGTTTATCAGTTTTAATTTAATCTTACATTTTTATACAAAAACCATTTCTTTATATAAAAAAAAAAAAATATAGTAATCATGTCGCTAGGTTTATGAAAAATGCATAACTTCATTAAAAATATTTTACTACATTTTCTAAAAATTCCTAACTCAATAAATTATTGGTAGTTCAATTTTATATTTTATTTAATCAACATTCTTATTTAAAAGTTGAAAGGCGCGTCTTAAAATTGATAAGAAAAATATATTCTTTAATCCATGTTTTAAACCATTTATCCGCTGTTATCTGATTATAACAATCGATATTTTAAAATTTAAAATTTGAAAAAGAATAATCATAAATTACTTAAAAAGTTAAAACTTTAGTAATTCACCGAATTACAAATAATAATAATTAAATTAATTTACTGAGCTTGTTYGATGTCGACACTCAACAACAACATATTGTTTTGAGCTTTCATAATTTGTTGATCACAATACATTATATTAATTGATTAATAATTTATATGTCTATTTAAAGGATGATAAAGTAATTTTAATACTAATCTTTACAATTTATATAAATTAAGCAGTTAAATGTAATACTGTTAGCAACAGTTATTATATTTTATTTATAGTATAATAAAACTAATAGAATAATATATTCCTCAATTTTAATTGTTTTTCAGAGCAAAATTTAAGAAATTATGGTATCGGTTTAAAAATTATTTCATAAATTATGTATATATACAAAATGAAACCTATGAACATATGTGTGATTTATTACTAGAGCCTTTGTTTAAAATTGTTGACAAATATACAAGCATTTTTGGAAAAGTAAGTTACGATTAGGATTATTTATTTATGAAAAATAAAATTTATTTATTTCTAAAATATATAATTTAAATTATTGATTTTTTAGATTATGGTTGTTCTAGTGATTGTATTAACAACATTTGTAGTGATCGTGGCTTATTGGATTGGTGTACCATATTGGTGGAATAATAATAAAGTTTTAACGGTGTTCTTGTTAATATTTGGAAATTGGTTATTAATAAATGTTATATTTCATTATTATATGGGAGTCACTACACCACCTGGATTTCCTACTCCAGTATAMTATTTTTTTCTTTTTAATAACTGACTAATAAATAAAAATATTAATTATTTGTGCATTTTCAGAACAGTTTAATTTATAATGATGTAATAATTTGTAAGAAGTGTGATTCTCCTAAGCCTCCTCGTACACACCATTGTTCAATTTGTAATAAATGCATTCTCAAAATGGATCACCATTGTCGTATCCTTAATATACAATATTAAAATAATAATATATCCATAATATATTATAAATTATTATTATTATTTAATTAACCACATTTATAAATCTAGTAATTGTTAAGTAGTAAATATTGGTTTAGTATATTATTCAAGTATAAATAATTTGTATATTAATGTCTAATATGTTCTGTAGTGATTTTATTGTTTCCAATGGTAGAACTAGTGAGTGTGAAYTAGATTATCTCAAATCTTCATCTATTTTAGAAAATATATTTTTGACACATTTTCTTTATTGATTTATAAATAATAAATATGTATACCAGCGGTTCTTAAGCTGTGATTCGTGGCTCACCTATTTATATGATTTGTGATATAAAATGATTTTAAAAATATTGTTTATGATAACAAGATAAATTTTGAAAAAAATGCATTTAATAGAAAATTGATAGAGGGAGTATATATTCAATAGATATTTAAAATATTATCAAAATATTTTTCTTAATAATATTTTAAAGCTTGGATAAACAACTGTGTTGGGTTTTATAACCACCGTTATTTTTTTCTCTACATGGTCTACATGACATTAGGCTCATTATTTTTGATAACATTTGGAGCTGACATAGTTTTCACAGAAATATTCTATAGAGAAGAGGAACCAGTAGGGCATCCAATTAAAGCCAATACTTCTTTATCAAAAGTAAGTCAAACCTAAATATTTAGACTCGATATATATGAATATAAAATATTATTTAATATTCAGACAGACTGGGTTTTAACATTTCAAGATGAATATGAAAACCAAAACTTTGATATTGATCATTTTGCAGAATGGAGGTTTTGGTGTATTATGGTCATAACTTTTATAACATGTGGTAATTTTAAATGACCTTTAGTAACAATTTATATTTTATTCAACAAATAATTTCAGGAGTTTTTATCGCCTTAGCTATTTTAACTATGTGGCATGGTCTATTAATAAGTTATGGTGAAACAAGCATTGAAGGACATATAAATAAATTTGAAACAGAAAGATTGTCAGCTATAAACTTTGAGTATGTTAATGTGTATGATTATGGAATGAAAATGAATTGGATTATCTTCCTTGGACTTCATAGTGGAAGGTAAATTTAACTAGTAATCGCTGTTTGAATTTTAATTAGAAAAATATATAAATAGAATAATGAAGTTACCTTCAAGTTTGATAACTAACTATAAGGCTAGGCTTTAGGATGTCCACGTCAATGACATTTATATTTTACATCTATTACAATAAATAATTTGCCTATAATAATTTGAAATAAAAACAAACAATTTGATTTTTTTTCAGGAATTGGAGGCATATTGTATTTCCTTCAACTCATAAGCCAATAGGAAACGGATTCATATGGCCTACCAAAAATGATATATTTGAAGTGTTTTATCATTATAAACAGTAAATATGTAATGTAAGTGTTTAAGAGGACGCTACACACATATTTTATGTCTCTGTCTTACAAGTGCATAACATAGCAAATTTACGCTTACAATATCATGCTTAACTCCATTAGTCTAAAAATAAGAGTAAATTGACCTGTTATGAAACCTGGTGGTAAAACATTTCTGTGTTTGTATGTGGATTTTTTACAATAACTTGGTTTTTAAGTGAGTTATGAGCATTTTTAATTTATGCTTTATATCTTTATATCCGCATAATTTGCAATAAAATTGAACTATCGTAAAAAAACTCACATACAAACACACTTAATGTTCTTAACGTCAAGTTTCATAATAGGTTGATTCACTCTAATTTTTAAGCTAATGGAGCTAAAAGTAATCAGCTAAGCGTAAAGTTGATGTTATGCACTTGTATGACAGAGACCACAAATATTTGTGTAGCATCATCTTAATATCTTTATGTAAATAATTTATTTATGATGATGTAATATTCTAATTAATAATACATAATAAATATTTATGAAAAAGTGTTGACATAATTCTAAGAGTGGTTACTTTGTCTTACTTTTATTGCCATTATGTGCCTATGCAAAGCTGTGTTGTATTTTTAATTAGAAGCATTCATAAACTATGTAAAAACTAGATAAATCATTTTAAATAGAGCTTTGTTTAATAAAGTTGTTTTAATATTTCTTCAGTACTAGGTGATAATAAATAAAAATAGTTACATGACATATTAGACTAACATTAAAATTCTTTGGTAAGATACATTAAATGAAACTATGGTCTATGTCTCTATGAGACATGTGCAGTATCATATACTAAATCTTTTTTRGACAATAACAATTATCTTCTAATATCCAAAACTAATTTTTGAACTTAGATTTATCTATTATCTATAATCTTTAAATTTCTAACTATATTGTGTTTTTATTATATTTAGAACAAGATAGATTGATGTGACAATATATCATGTGTCTTATGCTTAGGAAAAATCTATTTTATGTAGGTCTAAACAATAGTTTAATTAAAATTAATATACAAATTGTTAATAATAAAGAAAGTGATATACATTTATATGTCTTGCTTAATAAAGYTTGTTTAAAATTTTTTATAAAATAAATTTTTTAGAATAACCTAATTAATAGTATATAACAAAATGRAAGGAAAATACATTAAATATTTCTATACTCATCTATATATAATCTATTTTTTAGATTTGTAGTSGAGTAATGAATGTAATTATTTTACAATGATGAGTAGATGTTGTTGTTTATTTTATTATTGCTTATTTCATTATCTTTTCTGGTAGGAAAAAAATCTTGTTTCTTTATTAGGAGGGAAGGGAGAGCCAAAAGTGAAAAACTCAATAGTTTTTTCAGACCATAGGGAAAAACAAAAACAAATTTAAAAAAAAAAGATTTGAGCAAAACCAGTTTTTGAGAAAATTAATTTTGTTTGTGCAATTAAATTGTAATACAAGTTTCAACGAAAGTTTTTCTATTTTTAACAAGCTYAAACACAATGGCAGTTACCACAACATCGGTGCAACGTAAAAGTAACTATGCAATGTTACAAGTTGATTTGAAACTTCTCTGAAACATTTATGTGATGGAACATTGCACAGTGGGATATCAACTACCTGGGTATGTTAACTAAGTAAGCTACTAAATTTACTTTAATTTGGTCAGTTGCTCAATAATTTTTTTAAATTGTTGTATAAAAAAAGAACAAGAAAATGGCTATCTAGAAAATTTAAAAAACTTAATTGAATCTTTGCCATATAATTAGATTTTTTATACTTAACTACTGGAAAAAGCTGCATTTAATTTTTTAAGAGGATGATACTTTTGGGACATACTTATTCTGTATTGTATTTTATACAACTAACGACATTTTCAAATAAAATTTTTCATGTAATAATTAATTCAACTAATTTCTAACAGAAGGATAAATTACTTTAATATAAATTACATCATATTATACATTTAGTAATGTAAGCTGACAGATAGTMTAAGCTCTGAATCATTTTTCATATGAACTTTGAATTCAAATGTAAGATGTAACATATGCATTACAGCAGTGGCGTGGCAAACTTCATTAAGTTATGACTTTATGAGGCAGACCAATCACCCACTCCAACCATCACAAAAAACATTAAAACATTTTTTTAAGATAAAATATATTAATTAATTTAAATAATAATGCTTTTTTTAACACATTAGATGATCTTTGAGGGCACCCACCACCYCTCAAAATGAGGCACGTGCCTCAAATATAGTCCTTTGTCACGCCACTGCATTACAGTGACCCACAAGGCTACAGGACACCTAATGTACAGTAGTGATACCCAATTGTCTATCTTTCTAAAATTATCCTTCAAAAAGATATTGGGCCTTACTGAATATGATCTGAATGTATAAATTAATATCATTGAAATTAYGAAATAAAATAATATAATTTTAATTATTTACAAAAATCTTATATAGGTACACATATAAAAATAAGCTATTATTAAATATAAATAGGTCTGTCATAATGTGCAAGTTATCTTCTTTTTAGAGCCAAACAATTTGTTCTATCCAAGATAAAAATGCTGAAACTTTAGTGTATACACCGGGTGAATTTTCTGTTGCACACAATTTTCCAAATGATGTTATTCCAATTAAATTGAAAATACATGCATTTTTCTCTGATTTCACCACGAGTGGTCCGCCAGAATCACCCTAAACAGTAAGTAATAATTTAATTAAAAATATTTATTTGTTCAATTTAAATTCTATTGGTTTATGGTTATTGAATAAATAATTATGTAATTTGAAATTTCACCAACCAAACAAGTATCATGTCCTCCTGCCAAATCTCCAGCACACAACATAGAATCTATAATACCTCTATTTAGGGTTCTTGTTTTGCTTTCTGCTTCATATAATTTGCTACACTGGGAATTATTTATTAAATCTAAGTCTACTTTTAATAAATGATCACTTGAACGGTCACCTAAATCAAAAAATTAATATTTTACATATTTTTTTTAGAAAAGCTGAGTACATATTAAATATTTTATGCTTTAAATTACCATATTGAATACTTCCCCATCCAGTGGCTGTAACTTTTTGTGAATAATTGATATTGTCATTACTGTTAAGACAAGCTGGCCGAATGTGATCATTTAACTTAACTTTATTATCTAAACGTAATAGTGCGATGTCATTATATTTAGATGTTTTAATATAATCAGGATGCACAATGGTTTCATCCACCAGAAATTCTACTGGATGAGCTCCATCATTATTAGTCTGTAAATTCAAATCTCCCAATCTCACTCGTACTGGAGCACCCCTGTAAAACATTCATTATTAAATATATATTTTGACATATGTATAAAACTATAAGCACATATTTTAGGGAAGTTAAGTTGTTTAATTGTTTAATTTATTATAAAAATGTAATATTGATAATGATTTGTATAATATTTAATTGACAGGTAGTTAGTAGATTTTAATACCAAATAAGTTATCAACTTACAATGAGCTATGCGTACAATGAGCAGCTGTCAACACAAATTGTTCACTAATTAATGTTCCCCCACAATTCCATAAAATTCCAGACCCTGCGCTGAATCCTACTGCCGCCTATGTACAAAAATGAGATAACATTGTAAATATAGGTATATTAATATTTCATCACTTCAAATTAATTATAGTACTATACCATATGTGGGAATTCTCCTAATTYAGCTTCAGTTCCACCAACAATTAACCCAACACTTTTTGAATCACATTTTTCTATTGACACTGGCTTTGATGCTGTGTCAATTGACAGAGGTAATACAGAAACAGTTGTTCTCAATGTCTTGGAATATTCTTCGCATTCTATGATAAAAATTAATATTTAATGCTTATCATTCTGTTTGCTAGTCTAATTTTAATTTTATTGATTTTACTTTTTTCACTGATGCGTTTATTATTTTCATTTGGTCTATTTTCATAATATTCATAATATTTTTTGGTGGTTGTTGTAAATGCTGTATCGGTTAAATCATCAGGAAATAATATACTGCTACTAGTCTTATGATTAGTGGTACTTGGCCTCTTATTTTCTTCATAACTACTATGATTGATCTCACTGTTTTGAAGCGGTGAATTGTTTTCTTCGTTCCCTGAGCTATAAATATACTGTGGTTTTTTAGTAGTAGCATAATAATTAGGATTGTTATTTTGATTTGATTCATATGTTACTTGGTGTGGTTGATTATCATATTGATTATAATTCGGTCTTTGAGGTACAGAATTTTTGTGTTTATTATTATTTTGAACTTGTGGATATGTTAAAAAGTTTGGTCGATTGAAATTATTATTTTGATCCTGAATTACAGGCCTCTGTGTTTCATAGTTAGGATAGTTGTAATAATTTTGAGGTATATTTGTAGTTTGATCACTGCCATACATAATATTTTCGTTGTTTGAACTTGGTTTATTATTATTACTGCTATAAAACCCATATTCATTTGTAGGTCTAGTAGGTGTAGTTCTATTTTTATTAGGCTTAATAACTACATCTTGTTCATAGTTTTGATAAGGTCTATCTTCCACAAACTCCATAGTATGTAAAACATTAGCTACGAAATTGGTAGGTTTTGGTTTTTGATAATTAAAAAAATTTATATTTGTGATTGGATTTGGTTGTAACACAGGTGCATGAAAGAAATCAGGATTAAAACCAAATGGAGGTTGTATTGATCGATCCTCCTTTTGATCGTCACTTGAGACAAAATATTTGTTTCTTAGAACATTTTTAGCACAACAAATAATAGTCTGTTTAGAATTGCATATAGCTCCTAAATCAGTATCTCTTTGACATTTGCTTCTATGTTGACAAAATCCAACAATACCATTTTTGTTTGTACATTCATCACCTATTTCTGTAAATAATAAATTATACATATCACTATATTAGAATATCGCCCATGTTTAAATTTGCATTTAAATAAATTAAAATAAATAATATTTTTATCATAATATGTATGATATAAATAGAAAGCTAATTGAGAATGTATCACAATAAATTATGATTAATGGCGTCAATTATTGTTTGCCATCATTTAGAATCTATAAAAGTTAAATTAATCAATTTTAGAAATGAATAAATAATTTATGAAACAATATATTTTTATACAGTTATTATTTGTAAAGGTTAAACTTATATAATATATATTAAAATTATGATAGACTACTGTTGTTATTTTTATTTTTAAATGTTATAAATTTGTACAAAAATTCTAATATTACTTTAAGCATAAGAAATTATCTTTTACATAAACAATTATTTCAAACAATCTTTTTGAATTTATTTTTGTCAAGATTTTAAAATATTTTTGATTCGCTGACAGGTTTAGGGGGAAGGGTTGCTTGGAGCTGAAGCATTTAATTTTCATTTTTTCAATTATTATTGCACTTTTTTTTAAATTATAAACTACTTAGATAACAGTTATTAGTGTTATTACGTATTAATCGTTAAATTTATTTWTACCCAGATTTCATGTCGGTAAGAAGTATCTTTAAGTGAATTATTATTAAAACAACACCAACCAAAACATAATCTCGATTCGCTACTGCTACAAATGTTTCGATAGTTAATTAAAGAATGTAGGTACAAGGTATCTAGGTGTTATTGTACTAAATCTGTAAATAATAATTTTAA